TTCCGTATTCTGTATTTATTTAAAGTATCTTGAGTTGTGCCAAATTCTAGGCTGTGTCCTGAAGTTAAAGAGAAATTAAATGAGGCCTTGCCCACAAGTTAATAATAATCTAGTGGAAAATACAAGCAATAATCAAACTAGGGTTTAACAGAGAAGCGCCTTACCAGTGCCAGATGTGGTCAGTGTGCAGGAAATTACAGTGAGTAATTTTACAGTGAGTGACAGGATGAGACTGAATGTGGGGGCATGGCATTTGTGGTCCCTAAGCCCCTAGGTCAGGTAGGCATGAATTTCCTGGCCACCTAACCCCCCAAGAGGCTATGATTTGCCCACAGTCACACAGCTGAAAGAGCTAGAATTCAGGCCTGAGCTATCTGGCTCTGTTCAGGGTCATACAGGTTCATGATTATTTGAGTCAGAGCCTGAGCTGGGGCTTTGAAGTCCCACTTCTCTGCTCTCCACACTGTTCCATTCTGCCTCGTGTATGCCCCCTCCACATATGTTACCATTTCAAAGGCTCTAAGCCAGCCCTCCGCCCTTGCTGCGTGGCAGATGGTGAGCAAAAGGCTATGGCTAAGTGTGCTGGGTCTGTTTGGATGATCTGAGACTTAAGAGCTTAACATTCTTGTTCACGTTTTTGGTGTTGATAATTTTATTTACTATTTATTGAGCACTGTGCTGGGCACTTTATATGCGTTTCAAAATCTGACAATAGAATTGTAGAGGTTTCTTCGGCTCTATTTGACAGTTTAGGAATCTTGGGCCCAGAGGGGGAAGAGAGGCAGCTTACCTCCCATCCAGGCAGGCTGACCCAGCATCCACACTGTTCTTCTGCAGCCTCCATGTCTACAGAAAGCCTCATAGGGAGCAGGTGCCCAAGGCAGGCTTCTTCTGAGAAGGGGATGAGTTGTTCTTGGGACTCATGCTAGGCCTCCAGGGGCAGTAAATGCCCCCTTGGCAGGAAGGAGAGGGGCCACAGGGTCATTCTGAGAGCTCATTTGGGCCTACCTCAATACACTTTCTTTCTAGGCTGAAGACAATGAGAACTTCAAGACAATAGTGGAGTTTGAGTGCCGAGGCCTTGAACCAGTTGATTTCCAGCCTCAGGTGTGTGTGTATCTTCCTTGGGAATCTCTATCTTTGGGAAAGGGATATATGAAGTGACAGCCAGAGCTGCAGAGACCATGGACTAGACATTCTCCTTTTTAGCAATAGTGATAATTGTCCCGTATTAAATGGCTGCTGTATGCCTGGGCAACCATACCCTTCATTTTTACATGTTCCCATGCTTAATCCTCATAGTAGCCGAGTGTGGTGGCTCACCCCTGTAATCTCAGCACTTTGAGAGGCCGAGGTGGGCAGATCATGAGGTCAGGAGATCAAGACCATCCTGGCTAACATGGTAAAACCCCATCTCTACTAAAAATACAAAAAATTAGCTGGGCATGGTGGTGGGCGCTTGTAGTTCCAGCTACTTGGGTGGCTAAGGCAGAGTAATCGCTTGAACCTGGGAGGCAGAGGTTGCAGTGAGCCAAAGTTGCACCACTGCACTTTAGGCTGGGTGACAGAGTAAGACTGTCTAAAAAAAAAAAAATGCTCTTAGTAACCCTATGAATTTATTCATCCTATTCTTCAGATGAGGAAGAAACTGAAGAGATTTTGCAACTTGCTCAGGGTCACATAGTAAGCCATGGAGCTATAGTTTCAACCCAGGTCTATCTGACTCCAGAGCTAGTGCTCATCCCCTTTTATTTGTACAGTGTTTCACCTCACAACGAATCTGTGAGATAGGCAGAAGAGGAAATACTTCCTTCCCATTTGATAAATAACTAAGGTCCAGCCTGGGAAATGACATGCCCAGGGGCCTTCAGCTAATCATCGGTAGTGGAAAGGTTTACTCTGCACCTGCTGCCTTCTAGTCCAGGGCTGTAATTCAGAGAAACCACCACTCTAGTTCTGAGGTAGCTGCTGGGTCCTGGAAGCTCAGCAGGTATTCCAAGACAGGTGCTCATACTGCATCTCTGCCCACCATCCCAAAGGTGTGAGAAGAGCCAGCAACCTGGCCAGCCCTCACATAGAGCCTAGTGCCTCCTTCTCCCAAGATTAACTGCCACCTTGTCCCCTGCAGGCTGGGTTTGCTGCTGAAGGTGCGGAGTCGGGGACAGTCTTCAGTGACATTAATTTGCAGGAGAAGGTATGAGACTTGGGGGCTTTATAAGGTACTATAGGGCACCTGGTGAGAATTATTTTTTGGTGAACGAGGCTCATCAATGGAAAGCCAACTTCATATTTTTGTGCTTTTGTATTTTTGTGATTTTGCTGTTTAAATGGCCTCAAGTATAGTGCTGAAGTGCTTTCTAACGTCCCTACATGTAATAAAGCTGTGTCCCTTGCAGAGAGAATACATGTTAGATAGATAAGCTTTATTCAGGCATGAGCTATCGTGCTGCTGGCTGTGAGTTCAGTGTTCAGGAATCAACAGTATATATTAAATAAGGTATCTTTAAACAGAAACACATAAAGTAAGATTATTGATTGGTTGATGAAAATGTTACTAGAGGCTCATGGGAACCTAACCCTGTATTTTCCCTGGGAGTATTCATTCAGTATTCCCTAATTCAGTGTTTTTGGTGGCTTTATTGAGCCTAATACCATGAAGAAGAAGAAGTAGTCTATATTAGTGGATGTATTACTAGCCTGCAGTTAGAAAAGCTTTGTGCTCAGGCCTTGAAGGAAGGACAAAAACTTGATTTCATTTGCATAGCATCTAATAATAGCAGCAGCTAGCATTTACTGAGCTCTTATGTGTGCCAGGTACTATGCTGAGTGCTTTTAATTAATTAATTAATTAATTATTTCATTTTTTGAGATGGAGTCTTGTTCTGTCGCCAGGCTGGAGTGCAGTGGCACGATTTTGGCTCACTGCAACCTCTGCCTCCCGGGTTCAAATGATTCTTCTCCCTCAGCCTCCCGAGTACCTGGGACTACAGGTGCACGCCACCACGCTCAGCTAATTTTTCCATTTTTAGTAGAGACAGGGTTTCACCATGGTGGCCAGGATGGTCTTGATCTGTTGACCTCGTGATCTGCCTGTCTTGGCCTCCCAAAGTGCTGGGATTATAGGCGTGAGCGACCGCGCCCAGCTGATTTTTTTATTTTTTTGAGACAGACTTGCTCTGTCACTCAGGCTGGAGTGCAGTGGCACAATCTTGGCTCACGGCAATCCCTGCCTCCTGGGCTCAAGTGATTCTCCTGCCTCAGCCACGAGAGTAGCTGGGATTATGGGTGCCTGCCACCATCCCTGGCTAAATTTTGTATTTTTAGTAGAGACAGGCTTTCACCTTGTTGGCCACGGTGGTCTCGGACTCCTGACCTCAAATGATCCAGCTGCCTTGTCCTCCCAAAGTGCTGGGATTACAGACATGAGCCACTGCGCCCGGCGCCCGGCTGGTAAATGCTTTTAAATGTGTTACCTCATTTGATTATTTCAACATTCGATATGAACTCCCTTGTCCTTTTTCTTTTTCTTTTCTTTTCTTTTTTTTTTTTTTTTTTTTTTTTTAAATAGAAGACAGGACTTGGAGAAGAGGCTCAGAGAAGTTAAGTGATTTGCCTACAGTCACACAGCTGAAAGAGCTGGAATTTAGGCCTGAGCTATCTGGCTCTGTTCAGGGTCATACATGTTCATGCGTATTTGAGTCAGAGCCTGAGCTAGGGCTTTTAAGTCCCATTTCTCTACTCTCCACTGTTCCATTCTGCCTTGGGAGGCTGACATTGCTATTTTGTTTCCCAGGACTGGACTGACTATGATGAAAAGGCCCAGGAGTCTGTGGGAATCTACGAGGTCACCCACCAGTTTGTGAAGTGCTGACCCCTCTTCCTGCACACTTGAACTGAGAAAGGACAAAATACTCTAAGCAGCAGAGCCCACAGGGGCTGGTTCCTTTGTCCCTTGTCTCCTGGCGGCTGTACCAAACATTCACAATCTGCATGTTGGACTTTATTACAGCTTCCCAAGCCCCATCAATAAAGCCCCTGTTCGTGCTGCACTGGTGCGTGAAGGTGAAGTCAGGTGGCAGCTGCTCCCTCCACAAATAGGAACTCATGCAGCAGCAGTTTACTCCTTAGGAAAATGAAGAGTATTTTTAAGGAGATGGAATCTCCTCAGTGAGGGGCAAGTTTGTAGAGAAGACGAAACTGCAATCCTACCATCACTCAATGAGCCAGAAGCCAATGGCAACTTACTGTAACCCGAACTTACTGAACTTGCTGTTGGAAAGATCTTTGTGAGGATTAAGAATTAGGTTTTAAAAAATTAAGAACCATCTTCAAGCAAAAATAAAACTTTATTTCTGCATAAACAATAAATAGACCTGAGTTAGTTTTCCAAACCCTTCCTCCTGATTAAATGCACTTAAAACTGAAATCTCTCGTTATCTTTGGTTGTGATCTAGTCCCACTCGGAAATTACAGGTTTAGCTTTAAAACCATGATTTTAAAGCTCAAGCCTGTAGTTGGTTCCTAGACACTCATGATTAGTTTCACAGAATAGCACCCACTGGCTACACAGTCCCCAATTTTCGTTTTTGAGACTGAGTCTTGCTGTGTCACCCAGGCTGGAGTGCAGTGGTGTGATCTCAGCTCACTGCAACCTCCGCCTCTTGGGTTCAGGCAATTCTCCTGCCTCAGCCTGCTGAGTAGCTGGGACTACAGGCACCCATTACCACACCTGGCTAATTTTTGTATTTTTAGTAGAGACAGAGTTTCACCTTGTTGGCCAGGCTGGTCTCGAACTCCTGACCTTGTGATTCGCCCACGTCAGCCTCCCAAAGTGCTGGGATTACAGACATGAGCCACTGCGCCCAGCCATTCTTTTTTGTTTTTGTTTTGAGACAGTATCGCTCTGTCGCCCAGGCCAGAGTGCAGTGGTACAAACTCGGCTCACTGCAACCTCAACCTCCTGAGTAGCTGAGATTATAGGCACAATTCACACTTGGCTAATTTTTGTATTTTTAGTAGAGACGAGGTTTCACCATGTTGGCTAGGTTGGTCTCAAATTCCTGACCTCAAGTGATCCACCCGCCTTGGCCTCCCAAAGTGCTGGAATTATAGACATGAGCCACCATGTCTGGCTTCCCAATTTTCATGATGAGGAAGTGACGGTAGCTTTTCATCTGCCCAGAAGTTAACTTTTGATGGATTTGCCTTCTAAGGCATCAAAAATGTCTTCTAAGGCCTTCTCCACACATTGGAGAAACTCCCGGGCATTGCGGCCTGGGTAGGAAGACACATTGCAGCCTATCCAGTTGTCATGAACAGCATACCCAATGCCAAAGCCATCAGAGACCACCGGGGCAAAGCCCCCAAGGTTCACCGCTGGGCTGCTTAGAGTGCTTGTAGACAGGACATTGTGATTTATCTGCTCGTATGCAGGGTCCAGGTAGAACTCGGGCAAGATGATACCTTTGGCTGCTGCCAAGTACCGCAGAACAAACAAGTGTCGGTCAAAACCTTGGCCTGTGAGAAACAAAATGGAAAATCAGAGTCTCAGGACGGAAAAGGACATGAGGAAAACCTCCCCACTCACCACGTGGTAGGAATCACCCTCACGGCATCCTTGAGAGTTGGGGAAGGCTCTGTTTACCTCTACGCACACCACCAGCTGACTAACCTTTGGAGCAGCTCAAGCTAGAATATTTTAAATTATTTAGAAAATATGTCATACTGAAAAATAGCTGTGAACAGCTGAGCTAAAAGTGAGCCTAAAAGGAAAGCATAATTTTAAAGATTCGAAATCAGTTTAGTCAGAGTCAACACAGTACAGGAAGAGAGTGTGGACTCAAAAACTAAGATAAAACTACAAGTCTGATTCAAGCATAAAAGAGAAGATTGAGTCAGGGGACCAAAATGGAAAGGCTGTTGGACCAGGGTTCTAATCTCAGCCTTACTAATTTGCTGTGTAACGGGGCCAGTGGCTTGGTTTTCTGCCTATAAAATGGAGGGAAGAGAAGACTAGAATGTCTTGGCGGTCCCTTTCACTTCCAGCACTTTCTGGCGACAAGAAAGGACAACTGTGACCCTCCAGGTCCTTTCCAGGTCTTGAATTTTATCAAAAAAAGGTAATGATGGATGACATTTGGAAAGAATGACCTATTTACTGGGAACACACACACTGCAACTGAAATGAAGTTAGAGGGGCCGTGAGTTTAGAAATCCTAAATGTTCAAAAGTAAGTCTGATATCCAATGAGTAATAGAAAAAGGAGGCTGGGTGCTGTGGTGCATGCCTGTAATCTATAATCCTAGTGCTTTGGGAGGCCAAGGCAGGAGGATCACTTGAGCCCAGGAGTTTGAGACCAGCCTGGGCAATACAGTGGGACCTCATCTCTACAAAAAAATTTTAAAAATTAGGCCCAGCACAGTGGCTTTATGCCTGTAATCCAGCACAGGGAGGGAGCACAGGTGGATCACGAGGTCAGGAGTTGGAGACCAGCCTGGCCAACACAGTGAAACCCCGTCTTTACTAAAAATACAAAAATTAGGCACAGTGGTACACACCTGTAGTCCCAGCTACTCAGGAGGCTGAGGCAGGAGAATCACTTGAACCCAGGAGGCAGAGGTTACAGTGATCCAGGATTGCACCACTGCACTCCAGCCTGGGCAACAGAGCAAGATTCCATCTTAAAAAAATTTTTTTTTAATTAGCTGGGCATGGTGGTACATGCCTATAGTCCCAGCTACTTGGGAGGCTGAGGCAGGAGGATTGCTTAAGCCAAGGAAGTTGAGGTTGCAGTGAGTCATGATTGCACCACTGCACTCCAGCCTGGGTGACAGAATGCGACTATGTCTCCAAAAATGAATAAAAAGGATAATTAAGTGTCACAAATGAAAGTGACCTTAAATGAGGACAATGTCACATGCAATTACCTACCCCTGCTTAGGAGGCAAGAACTTTCTGACCCCTAGTGGCTAATGTGGCTGTTCAGACTGCAACAGTAGAAAAAAAAAAAAAAAACATCTTGGGAGTTGGTGATGGATTAAACCTAGTGAAGGGGTAAAAACCAGATTTGGGATAGAATATGACTTAGGCTTGCTTCCCCAGGCACTGAGGACAAGACCCAAGGGCATGCTGCCCACCACTGCCTTACCCATTGCCGCTTCTTTGGTCAGCTGTCCATGGTACTTGGAGCAGTCAGCCATCATCTGCTGAAGCTCGCCAGCACTGTGCTTGGAGGGCTCCCTGACAAAGGCCTCAGAGCACCTCTTCGTATAGATGGAGGCTGGGCGGATGGTCTCAGTGCGGCCGTGCTTGAATGCGGCAGTGCTGCAGGACTCGTAAGTGGCCACTGTCTTCCCGTACTGCCGCAGGAAGGCCATCTGGAAGGCCAGCTGGGCCACCGCGTCAGGACTCAGCTTCTGCTTCTTCAAGAATTTTTTGCCTCCTCTCTGAAACTGGACGCCGTCGATAGTGAGCGTTTTCATGGTTGCGTCAAACTTTTCCTTAGCAGTCGTAATGCCAGTCTTTAAGGCATCACTCAGCTTGAAGTTGAGTTTCCGCACGGCATCAGTAGAGTCAGTGGTGGCTGGCTGGCTCTGTGGAGTGATGGCAGGGGTCTGAGTGCTGTCTTTAAACACTTCATTAAAAAATCTGAGCACTGCCACACCATCACCCCAAGAGTGCTCAAAGTGGACAGCAGCAGAGCCATCCTTGGCGATAATGAGGTTAAAGGATTTATCAAACCAGCGGTTAGTGCCATCCCCATGCAGCATGTTGTGGGACAAGTGGATAAGGTCCTTAATGGGGAAGTCATCTAGGCAGAGGCAGAACACAGCAGAGTCCACTTTCCTCAGGCCCTCCTCATTGCCACTACTCAGCAGCTTCTGCCTGAGCTCTGCCCAGATGTCTCGGTTCTCACTGGTCAGGTATGCCAAAGGAAACTCGGGGGCGGGGCTGCCGTCTGAGAGAATGTACTTCAGATGTGCCTGGATTTCCGAGGGGCTCACAATGTTCCCATCTTGATCCAGGACATCAAAGATATAAAAATTTCCTTTTCTTAGGACCAGGAGGTGTCTGGCCTTGTCATCAGTGAAGAGTTCATCCCGACTGGGCTTGGGTAAACGAGTTGAATTGAAAAGCCGAAAATACTGGGACATATCCAGGGGATATGCATTGACCAGGTAGGCCCCGTACCAGGACAGAGAGGAAGGCACAAAGCTTATGAGTCTCTTAAAGGTGTCAGTGTCACTTTTTGCAGGATTCAAGTGGAACACTTCTGGCTCCAGAAGGCCAGCCCGCAGTGTCTTCAGAAACCGGATGGCAGAAACAGTCATGTTGGTTGCCCGGGTGAGCTGGTCATTGTACTCAGATTTTGGGTCAGGATTGAAAGCAATAAATGGATTAAAGTTCAGAACAACGGAGTCTCGAGCAGTTAGGTACATATCAAACCAGGGTCCTAAAAAACAAAAAGAAAAAAGTAACATAAAATGTTAATGCTGTCCCTAAAAGTAAGATTTGAGGAAGAAAAAAATTTCAAGCATAGGCAAAGGAAATGCCATCCACCTCCAGAGAGAATTCCCTGATTGGTTTTTTGCTCTGCAATAATTCAAGCCATATAAATAGGATCATACAATATATGGTCTTTGCATCTGGCTTCTATCACTTATAATAATGTTTTTGTTTTGTTTTTTGAGTCAGAGTACTGCTCGGCGCCCAGGCTGGAGTACAGTGGTACAATCTCGGCTCACTGCAACCTCTGGCTCCTGGGTTCAGGCAATTCTTCTGCCTCAGCCTTCCGAGTAGCTGGGATTACAGGTGCCTGCCACCATGCCCAGCAGATTTTTATATTTTTACTAGAGATGGGGTTTCACCATGTTGGCCAGGCTGGTCTCAAACTCCTGACCTCAGGTGATCCACCCGCCTCAGCCTCCTAGTAATGTTTTTAAGGTTCATCCATGTTGTAGCATGTAACAGTTCTTCATTTCTTCTTACTGCTGAATAATGTTCCATTATATGGATATACTATATTTTATTTATCCACTCATCAATTAATGGACATTTGAACTGTTTCTACTCTAGCTATTATAAATTATATTGCCTTTTTTTTTTTTTAAGATGCATGGGATTTCTGTCGTCCAGGCTGGATTCCAGTGGTGTGCTCATGGCTCACTGCAGCCTTGAACCCTGGGCCCAAGCGATCCTCCCACCTCAGCCTCCCAGGTAGCTAGGACTACAGGTGCATACCACCAGCCTGGCTATTTTTGTTTATTTTTTTGTAGAGATGGTGTCTTACTATGTTGCTCAGGCTAGCTTCAAACTGGCCTCCTCTCACCTCAGCCTCTCAAAGTGCTGGGATTACAGGCATGAGCCATTGCACCTGGCTATTAAGAATTATGTTGTTATGAACTTCATATACACGTTTTTGTGTGGACATATGTTCTCAGTTCTCTTGAGGATATAGCTAGGAGTAGAATTCTACATCACATGGTAAGTATCTGAGGAACTGCCAGGATGTTTCCCAAAGTAGCTGCACCATTCCCACCAGCTGTCTATGAGGGTTCCAATTTTTCCACATTCTCAACAGCACTTGTTATCATATGTCTTGTTGCGTGGAGAATTCTGGTAGGTGTAAAGGATAGCATTGCAGATTTCATTTGCATTTCCCTGATGTTGATTAATTGTTTTTTCTTTCTCATTCTGTTTCATTTCTTGGTTTAAAGGAATAAAATACAGTAACACTTCACTTGCATTCATGCTGGAACAGAGCACCCCATCTCTTTAGGTTTCTCTTGTTTCATCTCCTTTCAGGGCAACATTCATACTTGATTGCCCACCTTATCAGGGGGAAACGTCTTCGCTGTCCTTCTGTGCACAGTGTACCTTTGTGCACCCCCTGTTTAGAAAGTACTCAGAAAGCTATTAGAACTATCAGTGCATGGATCCCTCAGACTAGCCCTCTGAGTTCCTATAGATGTTTTACCTGTAAAAATTCCAGAAGCAGTATCTTATCAGAAAATATGTCAAGGAAAGTTCCTGCTAGGGTTAGTAAGCATGAATAAACTCTATAAATAAGGGCCATTTTTCACTGGGGCAAATAATGTTCATATGTGCAGCACTGGGAAAAGGATCTATAGTTGCAGATTTGTCTGTTACTCATTTGTTGGTCCATTCACTCGTTCCATCTCCTGAGAATCAGTGCTATGCCAGACCTTGGCCCAGGGGATTTAGAGAGGAATAGGACATGGTCTTTGATTCTGAAAAACCCTGGTGAAGGAAGCAAACAATTAAAACATAATGCAATGTATTAGAATGGTGAGAGAGAAGTAGTACTGGTGGATAAGATATATTTGATGAAAGAAGACATACATTCATGCCTCTGACCTCCCCCGCTTTAGCAAAATAATTTCAAAGAGAAATAAATCAGTAAAGCCAAGAGAACGTGAGAAGAGAAAAATACTGGAAGCTGGAAAGCACTTATGCAACTGGTAATGACTGAAGCAGACTAGAGAAAGCCAATCCTAAACTGGCAGGAAAGAAAGCCAAGAAATCATATGATTTGCACAGCAGAACCCCCAGAGGGCTCAGTAATTGGCAGCCTAGATACATCTGGTTGCAGGACTATTTAATTATATCACCACTACCACCACCACCACAACCTGAGATTCCCTCCTCACTCCGGTAGAAGACTTAAGTTTTACTCTCTGGAGAAAATAAAACTGGGAGATCTGCGTCACAGTTAAGATCTCAAACCTTCTTCCCTTACCCTGCCTTCTACAACACTAGCAACCTTTTGACAGTTTACTGGAAAAGCATCCCTAGAGAAACTAACCCAATGACACTACCATTAGGGGCAACCCAAGGAAGCAGTTTAGCTGGATCACTGTATTAGTCTGTTTTCATACTGCTATAAAGAACTACCTGAGACTGGGTAATTTATAAAGAAAAGAGTCTTAACTGACTCAGTTCCACATGGCTGGAGAGGCCTTAGGAAACTTACAATCACGGCAGAAGGTGAAGTGGAAGCAAGGCACATCTTACATGGCAGCAGGAGAGAGAACAAGTGAGGATTAGGAACTGCCAACGCTTTTAAACCATCAGATCTCATGAGAACTCACTATCACAAGAAAAGCATGGGGGAAACCACCCCCATGCTCCAGTCACCTCTCACTAGGTCCCTCCTTTGACACTTGGGGATTACAATTCAAGGTCAGATTTGGTTGGGACACAGAGCCAAACCACATCATTCCACCCCGGCCCCTCCCAAATCTCATGTCCTTTTCACATTTCAAAACACAATCATGCCTTCTCAACAGTTCCCTAGAGTCTTAACTCATTCCAGCATTAACTCAAAAGTACAAGTCCAAAGTCTCATCTGAGACTTTCAAGGCAAGTTCCTTCTGCCTGTGAGTCTGTAAAATAAAAAACAAGTTAGTTACTTTCAAGATACAACGTGGGTACAGGCACTGAGTAAATGCTCCCATTCCAAAAGGAAGAAATTGGCAAAACAGAGGGGCTACAGGCCCCATAAAAATCTAAAATTTAGCAGGGCAGCCATTAAATCTTAAAGCTCCAAAATAATCTTTGACTTCATGTCTCATATCCAGGGCATGCTGATGCAAGGGGTGGGCTCCCAAGGCCTTTGGCAACCCTGCCCCTGTGGCTCTGCAGAGTACAGCCCCATGGCTGCTTTCACAGGCTGGCATTGAATGCCTGTGGCTTTTCCAGGCACATGGTGCAAACTGTCAGTGGATCTACCATTCTGGGGTCTGGACAGTGGCCCTCTTCTCACAGCTTTTTTTTTTTTTTTCTTTTTATTAGAAATTGAGAATACAGCAAGTAGGGAAATCCCACATCAATGGAACCATCACACAGATCCCCTTCTGAAACCCTAACCTTCTATGATCCCCAAAAATGTGCTTTGTGGCTTTAGCAATTTATAAAGGGGAAGAGGGAAAATACTGAAAAAGGCCACTATTTAATGGTGAAAGAATGAAGCTGTAGAGGTCCCAACCAGCCTAGGGCCAAAAAAGAAAATTAAAAATCTGCACAGAGCAAGCAAGCCTCTGACTGCTGAGAGTAAGGCATTCAGGTGCCAACCTGGTGAGAGTTCTCAGCTCCTCAGTGGGAACTCTGTGTGGGGCTCTAACTCCACATTTCCCATTTGCATCGCCCAAGTAGAGGATCTCCATGAGGGCTTCACCCTATAGCAGACTTCTGCGTGGACATCCAGGTGTTTTCACATATCCTCTGAAATCTAGGAGGAGGTTTCCAAATCTCATCTCTTGTTTTCTGCACACCCAACACCATGAGGAAGCCTCCAATGCTTGGGGCTTATGCCCTCTGAAGCAAGCCAGAGCTGTGCCTTGGCCCCTTTTATCCATAGCTGGAGCTGGAGTGCCTGGGACACAGGGCACCATGTCCTGAGGCTGCACAGACCAGCAGGGTCCAGGAAACCATATTCCCCTCTTAGGCCTCTGGTCCTATATTGGGAGGGGCTGCTGTAAAGATCTCTGAAATGCCCTGAAGACATTTTCCCCGTTGTCTTGACTATAAACATTTGGCTTCTCATTACTTATACAAATTTCTGCAGTCGGTGGCTTGAATTTCTTCCCAGAAAATTTTTCTTTTCTACTGCATGGTCAGCCTGCAAATTTTCCAAACTTTTATGTTTTGCTCCTCGCCCCCAACTTTTTTTTTTTTTTAGATGGAGTCTCATTCAGTCAAGGCTGGAGTGCAGTGACGCAATCTTGGCTCACTGCAACCTCCACTTTCCGAGTTCAAGAAATTCTCTGCCTCAGCCTCCCGAGTAGCTGGGGTTACAGGTACCTGCCACCACGCCTGGCTGATTTTTGTATTTTTAGTAGAGATGGGGTTTTACCATCTTAGCCAGGCTGGTCTTGAACTCCTGACTAGTGATCCACCACCTTGGCCTCCCAAAGTGCTAGGATTATAGGCATGAGCCTCCGCACCCGGCTGCTGTGCTTCCGTTTTAAACATTAAGTTCCAATTTCAGATCATCTCTTTGTGAATGCAGATGACCATATGTTTTCAGAAAAAGCCAGGTCACACCTTGAATGCTTTGTTGCTTAGAAATTTCTTCCGTCAGACACCCTAAATCATCTATCTCAAGTTTAAAGTTCTGCAGATCTCTAGGGCAAGGGTAAAATGCTGCCAGTCTCTGCTAAAGCATAGTAAGAGTAACCTTTGCTCCGGTTCCCAATAAGTTCCTCATCTCCATCTGAGACCACCTCAGCCTGGACTTCATTGTCCAAATCACTATCAGCATTCTGATCAAAACCATTCAAAAGTCTCCAAGAAGTTCCAAACTGTCCCACATTTTCCTGTCTTCTTCTGAGCCCTCCAAACTGTTCCAACCCTGCCCATTACCCAGTTCCAAAGTTGCTTCCATATTTTCAGGTATCTTTATAGCAATGCCCCCCATCCTGGTACCAGTTTTCTGTATTAGTACATTTTCACACTGCTATAAAGAACTACCTGAGACTGGGTAATTTATAAAGAAAAGAGGTTTAATTGGCTCACAGTTCCTTATGGCTGGGGAGGCATCAGGAAACTTACAATCATGGTGCAAGGTGAAGGGGAAGCAAGGCACATCTTACATGGCAGCAGGAGAGAAAGAGAACAAGTGGGGGAACTGCTAAACACTTTTTAACTTTTTTTTTTTTTTTTTTTTTTTTTTTTGAGACGGAGTTTCACTCATTTACCCAGGCTGGAATGCAATGGCGCGATCTCGGCTCACCGCAACCTCCGCCTCCTGGGTTCAGGCAATTCTCCTGCCTCAGCCTCCTGAGTAGCTGGGACTACAGGCATGCGCCACCACGCCCAGCTGATTTTTTGTATTTTTAGTAGAGACGGGGTTTCACCATGTTGACCAGGATGGTCTCAATCTCTTGACCTTGTGATCCACCCGCCTCGGCCTCCCAAAGTGCTGGGATTACAGGCTTGAGCCACCGCGCCCGGCCTCACTTTTTAACTTTCAAAGCTCATGAGTACTCACTATCATGAGAACAGCATGGGGAAAACCACCCCCATGATCCAATCACCTCCCTCCAGGTCCCTCCCTCAACATGTGGGTATTACAATTCAAGATGAGATTTGGGTGGGAACTTAAGCCAAACCATATCAATCACCATTAGAGCAAAGCCTGTAACTTAAAAGCCCCACCCTCATCCACATAGCTTCCAAGAGCCTTTTTAATATCTCACTGATATCTAAGACAACACAGGATTACGAAGCATCTGAAGAAAGAAAAGGGCAAAACAAACAGGAAAAATGCAACTTTGAGGCAACAGACTATGAAGAGAGAAGAGATCTTAAAAAAGAATTCTCAGAGATAAACTATTTTTTAAAAGAACACCCTAAGGAGAAAAAATAACTTGTGGAAGTACAAAATAGGAAAGCAGAAATTTAAAAGATCAATAGACAGGTTTAGAGGTTAAAATTAAGTAAATCTCCCAAGATGATGGAACAAAATAACAGAAGAAAAATACGAGAGAAAAGATAAGAAAATTAGAGGATGAGAACAAGAAATTCTACACCTGAATAATAAGAGTTCTACAAAGAAAAAAACTGAGGAAAAAAATGGAGAGGAAGAAACTCAAGGAAATAAAACAAGAAAATATCCCAAACCCGAAGAATGAGTTTCCAGATTCAAAGGACTCACAGAGTGGCCCAAGAAAATGGGTAAGAATAGACACACACCAAAACACATTACTTGAAATTTCAAAACACTGGGGACAAAGAGAAAATTCTAAAAAGCTTCCAAAGGCAGAGAGAAGAAGCAGTGAAAAGATCAAGTCTCAGAATAACATTAGATTTACCAACAGCAACACTGGATGCTAAAAGACAATGAAGCAAAGCTTCCAAAGTTCTGTGGGTAAATGATTTCCAAACTGGCCAAAATATCCATGAAGTATAAGGGTTATTTTAAAATTTTTGCTTCCCATGTTCTGCTTCCAGATAGTAAAGGGAATATGTGCTCTGATTAAAAGAGAGAGAGAGAAGCCAAGAAAGAAGAAAATATGAAAGACAAGAAACTCGAGTCCCAACATGACAAAGAGATGACAGATGCCCCAGCTGATGGTGAAAGAGCCCAGGAGAGGAGCTTCACAGAAGGCCAAAAGGCTCACAAATCTAGACTAGAGCATGTTGCAAGTTCTGGAAGGGGTTTCATCAAGAAGGCCAAAATGAATAGAATGTCCAATCTGCTTTCATGTATTGAGAGGAGATTTAGACAGCTTGGGGAGAATCTGGGGTAAAATAGTAAGCACATAGAAAACTAAAGAAGAGACAGGATGGAATAATTATTAACTTCAGAGGAAACAAAAAGTTTGTACAGGAAAGGAAAAACAATCCCAATATGCTGTATGACTCAGCTGACAATAGTGCTTATATGAAGAACATATACACTAGATACTGAGTTATCCAAAATTACAAATCCCTATATGAAAATGAGGGGATGGGAAGTGTGTGTATACACTCATATATGTGGCGGGATATAAAATACTGCTGGATTCTAATCTTCTACATTGACATGTCAATAGCTAATGGCTAAAGCAAAAAAATCAAGATGCAATAATATAAGTATCTAATTTAGAGATATGGGGGTATAAATCAAAAGATTTACGAGCTGAAAGTGAGAAGTGGGAAATTAGGAGATGATCAGGAAATTGCTCTTCTTCCTAACAAGCCTTACAGAACTGTCTGATTCTTCAAACTATGTGCATATATAACCTTGGTAAATATTTAAACTAAAAGAAGTGCTGTAGGAACAGAGGTGGAAGCAACCAACTCTGAATGGAGAGGAAAAAGGACTGAGAAGGTTTCACAGAAAACCATCCTCCTTGGATCTTAAAAGAAGAATTTGCCAGGCAAAAAAATGCTAGTGGGAACAGCATGGATAAAGGCACAGAAGAATCAAAGACTGAGGGTTCAGGGAGCAATGAGGAGCTCAGCAGGAAGTATGGCAGGGAGGGTGGTGAGATGAGGCTGGGGAGGACAGTTATGCCTGACTGTGAAGGACCCAGAATGATACGGTACATAGGACTTAATCCTGCATCCTTTTCAGACAGGACCATTGATTAGGTTCTGCCTCAATCCCATCTACAGAGAAGGCTAGCCATTGTCCTTGAGCATGGACTCCAGTCAACACCTCAGCAGACGAGGAACACACTCAGCCTTAACATTTACCTCAGGAAGGGAGGATGAGACATTACTTCATTTGCCGGTCTCACCAACAATATCTTTGAGACCCAAACAGGAGAGAATATGCCTTACTTTTCATTATGGAGGGCTCTGGGAGAAATCACACCCACAGCCGAGCTTACCTACCTGAAATGTAGCTTGTATGTTTATTCTGTTTGTCCTGAGCAACCAGCTGCTTGTGCAGTTCTTTTCCAATCCCATTTTCAAAACTCTTGCAAAATTGTTCTGTTTTCCTGAAACATTCAAGAAAAGACAAAATCAAACCACAGTAGGAAATATGTGATTTTTAGGTTCATGGCAAGGAAGTCATAGAGTTTTTGGTCCTCAACAGCCTAGCCCTAAAATCTGGACTTAGATCAGAAAGTACCTCTAACCAGAACAGGAATCAATCTAAAATTGATAATCTAGACTACCTTCTTAAAACGAATGATTAGGATAATCAATCATCTCACAAAACAATCCATACCCTAGAAGGCAGTTTGGCATGGAGAAAAGGACATAAGCTCTAGAGTCAGCAGAAGTTAAGTCTGAATCCTAGCTCTGTCACTTTTCACACTGTGTAATCTTGGATAAGTTACTTGATCTGAGTCTCAGTTTCTTGATGTGTAAAACAGGTAATACCACTTTACAAGATAAAAAAATATTTGTAAAACTAAGGATTTAGAATACCCTAAAACATAATACTTAGTAACTAGTAGTTATTACCATATCAAGAGAAACATCAAATAACTAATAAGGAATATCTGAAAACAGAGGACTAGATTATGGATAATTCATCTGTTTCTCCATCACTGTCCAGTAAAGAGTTCTGTGATTCCAACAACAGTGCCAGTTGCCTGTAGAGAAAAATTTCCACTATGGAAAAAGAGTACTATACTAGGCTACAAAAACTTAATGCAATCCACTTTTTGACAATGTCTGGTATTCTTTTCCAATTCCATGCTGTATTAGCTTCCTAGGACTGCTGTAACAAAACACCACAAACTGGGTGGCTTCAAACAATAGAAATTTATTCTCTCACAGTTCTGGAGACTTCAAGTACAAAATCAAGGGGTCAGTAGGACTATATCCTCTCTGAAGACTGGGGAAGAATCTCTTGCATGGCTTTCTCTGAGATTCTGGTGTTGCCAGCAATCTTTGGCATGCCTTGGCTTGTTGACACATCACTCCAGTCTCTGCCTGTGTCCTCACCTGGCTGTTTCTGTGTCTTCTTACAAGAACACCAGTCATATTTGACTAAGGACCCATACTACTCCAGTAGGACCTCATCTTAACTAATTCATCTGCCACAACCCTAATTTCAAATAAGATCATCCATTAAATTTCATGAAAAAAGGCATACATTTTGGAGGCTGCTATCCAACTCAACAAACATGCTCAGTGTGCAGACTTCTGGTCTGCCGTATGGTCTCCTCAAGGGACCTCCCTTCCAACGGCACATGCTCTCTATAAATGACCAGTACCAGCGAGCCTCCCAGGTACATCTGCTAAGGGAAAGTACATATTTGGCATTCTGGCTTATAAACTATCTCTTGTTGAGCCTGTTCAGAGGTACCCTCAGGGCTTGGTCAGTCCTTCATGAATGAAAATCTACTTCCTGAACTTGGAAATGTACAACTAGGTTCTGGGTTTCTAGAGACCCAGCCGAGTCACAGACATTCCTTGAAGCTCGGTCCACCACCCTGTCTTGAACCATTCCAGCTATGCTCACCCAAGGTTCTCAGTGTTTACCTGAACTGGCCATCATCCAAGAGAGGCTTCAGTGCATTGAGGTATCTCCTGATGGTGTCTTCAAGTTTGGGAATAGGCAGCCTGGAGAGAAAGCAAGGTTAGTGTAAGACTGACAGTATGTGGAAGAGGTTAATTAGCTTTAATGAACTGATTACTAGATCATAATTTCCTTCCCCAAAAAACCAATAATCAGAAGCCACTGACAAATCAGAATCAGTGTGTTTACTAATGCCAAGTATATCAATGGTAACTCTACTTTTTAAGCAAAATAACAACTAAATCTTTAAGTAAACTACTAATATAATTATATTTAATAATAATAATAGATTCAAAATGGGGAAGCAGAAGCTGCCCCAAGCATTCCTGTTTCCTGGTCACAATTCTAACACCTGTGCTAACACTGTATTGGCACTGATTTAATTCTACCCTTAGTTTGAACAACTGTATTTTTCTCCCCTAGGATAAAATGAAAAGGTTCTATTTTTTAAATTGTCTTCTGCATTTTACAACAGATAATTATGTAAGAGTGAAACACAGATCTGTCCAAGGGTTAGCCATATATGGGGGCTACAGTCACTGAATGGTAGGAATCGACCAGTAAGCCATGCCCAGACACCAGGAGTGCCATTAGGAAGAACCAGATAGTCCCATGTGCTTAAATAACAGGAACAACAATTTGCCCACTCATCATTCTCTCTACCAGTGATTCCCAAACATGGCTATGGTGATGAAGTTACTGGGTTATTATGAAATGAAAACACATGGACAGTAAAGTGAGGTGTATTTTCTCTTTCATTTCAATGGTTTTATTGAAAGATACATCCCCTACTATCAAAACAATCAGAGTTTTATAGGTTACCTCAACCAACTCACAATTAACACTGTTTTTTTTTTTTGAGATGGAGTCTTGCTCTGTCACCCAGGCTGGAGTGCAGTGGTGCAATCTCAGCTCATTGCAACCTCCACCTCCTGGGTTCAAGCAATTCTCCTGCCTCAGCCTCCCAAGCATCTGGGACTACAGGTGCATGCCACCATACCCAGCAAATTTTTTGTATTTTTTTAGTAGAAACAGGGTGTCACCATATTGGCCAGGCTGGTCTCAAACTCCTGACCTCATGATCCACCTGACTCAGCCTCTCAAAGTGCTGGGATTAAAGGTGTAAGCCACCATGCCTGGCTCAAAATTAACACTCATATGCAAAATACTGAAATGTATCAATCATTCAGGAAAACTGAAACATGATACATAAAGCAGTTTAAAAGCCTAATATAAGATATACTGTGGTTCACCAGTTTATTTTTCAATGCATGTTTATCCATAATACAACAAAAATAAACCAATTATTTACTGCCATTATGAACTCAGACTGTACTAAGTAACCATTCACACTTTAACACCATAGACCCCCTTATATTCACTGACTTACTCAGAAAAATCCCAGATACTGTCTCAGCTATCTCAATCTCATAATTCCAGAGTTGCCTACACGTTTCTTAAGACTTAGTTTTATTACAGTAGGAATATTCATGAAAGTTTACCTTCTTCCCTTTAAATAAAATTCTACATTAGAGACAATGGCAATTTGATTAAAAAACAGTGCCATTTAAAATTTTCTGGAGTAAGGCTGGGCACAGTGGTTCACACCTGTAGTCCTAGCACTTTGGGAAGCTGAGGCAGGCAGATTGCTTGAGTCCAGGAGTTCAAGACCACCTGAGCAACATGGTGAAACCCTATTTCTACAAATGATACAAAAAATTAGCCAGGCATGGTAATGCATGCCTGTGGTCCCAGCTACTTGGGAGGCCAAGGTGGGAGGATTGCTTGAGCCTGGGAGGCAGAGGTTGCAGTAAGCTGAGGTCAGGCCACTGTACTCCAGCCTGGGCAACAGAGTGAGAGACCCTGTCTCAAAAAAAAAAAAAAAAAATGGTTTTTTTTGTAGTGTTAACTGTAGCCTGATCTTTAGTGGAGTAAAGCAAGTTTTCAGTGATTATTTATATTTGAGTTGCGAATACAATAAAAACTAAATTTTCTAGATGGAAATTGTAGCAGCACAGACTATGTATAAAAAATGATCATGGATACAAAAAGTGCCTATTTTCTATAAAATATATTAAAGATAATGAATATGTCAAGCATCCCAGGTCTATATTGTTTGCCTTATGTAAAATGCCCTCAGTGTAAATGCCAGGTAGTAATACTGTCTGCATCCCTGAATAATTGAACACTTGGCAGACAATGGCTATGGTGATGAAGTTACTGGTGCACAATGAAATGAAAAAGTATGGACAGTATAGTGAGCTTTCCACAATTCTGCTTAATTTGCTTAATTTAAAATCTGTCCTTAATTCTCAGATTATTTTTTTGTGGATGGCAGTCATTAAAAGTCCTTTCTTTTAAGAAAATGTTGATAGCAGTACTTTTCTGTCATGATTTTACTGATCTGTGAAGTCTAAAGGTATAAGAAGTATGGTACTGACACAGTGGAAAGAGGATGGGGTCTAAAGTCAGACCTAGGCTTGAAGCTCAGCACTGCCATTTATATCTAGTTATGTGGTCACAGGTGGCAAATTACTTGATGTCTCTCAGACTCCACTTCCAGTCTATGAGTTGAAAAGAACTGCCTCACAGAGAGATCTGAAATGCATTTCTCAAGTTCCAGCCACACGTAGGCACAAGTCTATCACCAACATGTCCAGTATACTGGAGAGGTGAAATTCACAGCCTTTAGAATCACACAGATCTAGGCTTGCATCTTGCACCCTGGCACTTATTATCCATGTGATCTTGGGCAAATTTCTGACTTCTCTGGCGCCTCTTTCTCCATTTGTTAAATAATAACTCATAGGGCTCTTAAGAGGATTAAATAATAGACATAAAGAGCTTAGCAGGAACCTGACACACCATCAACACTGAACATACAGCATACACTAAATGTACATTAGATATTCGTAGATATCCAGATATCTAAAGTTATCTACAGACAATACACTCTAAATCCTTCCATTTCCCTATTGGTTTCCTGCCCTCCTTCTATTTCAACACCTCCCACAGGAAGTGCAAACTGTGCCCCCTATTATTTTCTTCTATCCACTGAGTACCATCCAATTTGGCCTCATGCAGCTAGCTATTCTTCACCAGCCCCTTCTACCATACCTTTTAGAACTTCCATTCCATCCTGTATTCTATAAAGTCTTGTCCAGCACTTCTCCTACCTCCTCACTCTTCTCAATCTGACTATTCTAAAATACCACTTGCTTTCAGATTTCTCTCCAAAGAAAGCCACTCTCCAACTTTTAGGAGGCACCAGTATCCTGAGTCTCAGAGACCCAGTGAGAACCAATATGACTTAATTACAGGACTTGTAGAACTATTAGGAAGGGGGACTCTCCAATAGCTAGGGTCACTAAGCTCTGCCTCACATGTTGGCTGCCACTTTGTCACCATGAGAGAGCCTGCTTGAGAATGGAGTCACATACATTTTAAAAAGCCAAGCAGGAGGGCAAAAAGAGAGTTCAGGGGACATCATCTGAGCCCCTCAAGGCAACCTGGATTTTTAGGTCTGTGAGGTCATCTGTTCCTGTTTGCTTAAACTAGTTTGCATTGGAGTTTCTGTAACTTGCTACTACAAAGGTCCTTACTGTAACAATTTCTTTTTCTATAAGTGATCACAAACCATTCTTCCAGTCAACATTTATTCTCTAACATCCAAAACAAGTAGAAAGAAAGAAAAGGAAGGAAAGAAAGAAAAAAAGAAAAGAAAGAAAACATATATTCTCTTGAAAAATCAAGACGTGTGATCACCTCTGGTTTCGTTGCACTATTCTGCTTTCTCCACAATTCCTCAATGAACACCAAAAGTTTCATGTGCCTTCTGGGAGTTCCTTGAGCTCCCTGTGTTGTAATTCACCAGGGTTTGAAAGTAGAGCCAGGGTCTTGAGAGGGGTACGTGGCAGTTTCATCTTAGCCACATCGGTTCTCCTTCCTACCTCACCTCCACTAAACATCATTTGCCATAATGAAGACCGCTGTAAGTGCTAAAAAGATTTGTCTCCTGTGTACGTTGCTCTCCACCACCAGCCATCATTGTCCCATTGGCCTCCAAGCAGTAGGTATATTATTGTTCTTCAGAACACAGCTAAAAAGCCTTTTCTATATTTACGTGCTCTAGTTATAATTCGGATAGTTTTCACAGAGTTGCTAAGGAATAAAGTCATCCTGGATGTCAAGACAATCGGTCTGAAGGACATGCCTCTGGAGCCAAAAGCATTACTGTTTCCACCTGTTACCCTCCGTACCCTGAAAACTGCCTCACCTGCCTCCTACGTGGATTCTAGAGAACGTGCCTATTATGTCTTGGGCTTAAATAAGACATGTAATGATTAGGGATTAAAAGAAAAACAACAGGAAATTGGCATTTATTACCAATCAATTGTAGACCTAACTTGGTGCCTGATCATTGTTTTTTTAAAAGATACAATGGGCCGGGCACGGTGGCTCAAGCCTGTAATCCCAGCACTTTGGGAGGCCGAGGCAGGTGGATCACGAGGTCAAGAGATCGAGACCATCCTGGTCAACATGGTGAAACCCTGTCTCTACTAAAACTACAAAAAAATTAGCTGGGCATGGTGGCGCGTGCCTGTAATCCCAGCGACTCAGGAGGCTGAGGCAGGAGAATTGCCTGAACCCAGGAGGCGGAGGTTGCGGTGAGCCGAGATCGCGCCATTGCACTCCAGCCTGGGTAACAAGAGCGAAACTCCGTCTCCAAAAAAAAAAAAAAAAAAAAAAGATACAATGGGCCCCTCTTCCCCACACTCACCCTGGACCAATTCCAATAATTTAAGGCCTAACCGTGATTCTTTACTTTGGGCTGAGCTTCTTATAAACTTCTCCCAATTCTGAACATGTCATGTATTTCAGGCTTCTGATCCTTGGCACGTGCTGCTCTATCCTCCCTGATTCCTCTCCCGTGGTAAACTTCAAATACCAGCCCAATGGTCACCTCCTCCGTGAAGCTTCCTGTACTTACCCAGGCACCAAGTCATTCACACAACACAACAGTTCTCTTCTGGCACATTCTAGACATGCAACAAATGTTTGTTGAAAGCAGTTGTAGTAATTATGAATATCCACTGAGTATTTGCCATGTACCAGATGCTATACTAAATGCTTTAATATCATCATTCCCATTTCTAGGTGAGATGACTTGCTCATGGCCACATAGCTAGTAAGTGGAACTGGGATGAAAAATTAGGTCTGGGGATAGGCACCGTGGCTCATGCCTGTAATCCTAGCACTCTGGGAGGCCTAGGCAGGTGGATCACCTGAGGATAGGAGTTCAAGACCAGCCTGGCCAACATGTTGAAACCCTATATCCACTAAAAATACAAAAAAAATTTAGCTGGGCGTGGTGGCACATGCCTGTAATTCCAGCTACCTGGGAGGCTGAGGCAGGAGAATCGCTTGAACTCAGGAGGCGGAGGTTGCAGTCAGCCGAGATAGCGCCACTGCACTCCAGCCTGGGTGACAGCGAGACTCAGTCTCAAAAGAAAAGAAAAGAAAAAGGAAAATCAGGTCTGACTCTTGGTTCATGCACTTAATGACCATTAAGATGCTCCTTCTGGCCGGGCACGGTGGCTCATGCCTGTAATCCCAGCACTTTGGGAGGCCGAGGCAGGTGGATCACAAGGTCAGGATCTCGAGACCAGCCTGGCCAACACGGTGAAACCCATCTCTACTAAAAATACAAAAATAAGCCGGGCCTTGGTGACATGCGCCTGTAATCCCAGCCACTCAGGAGGCTGCGGCAGGAGAATCACTAGAACCCAGAAGGCAGAGTTTGCAGTGAGCCGAGACAGTGCCATTGCACTCTAGCCTGAGTGAAAGAGTGAGACTCCGCCTCCAAAAAAAAAAAAAAAAAAAGAGTTGCAGATCCAGAATCTGAAACTACATTCTACCAGACCTCAAAGTCAGGACTTTTCACCAAGTGTGACATCAATGAGTGAGTGTGAAAGATTATACATTTTACCAGTCTAGCATCTGAGAGAGAGGAATCTCATCTCTCATCTGACTCCCAATTTACAAATAAGGTAATGGATGTCTGGGGGAGGTTGGTTGCTTAAGGTTATACAGGGGTGACTAGTGGTACTCTTTGAACTGGAGTTTGAATTGGTACCTCCAGATTCCTACAGACTGTGCTGTGGATGGGGCTGGAATAAATGATCTTAAATATTCTTTCCAGCTTTCCAATTCTAAAATGCAGAAAATCCCTCTGATCTTAAACCTGGGTGGGTCCCAGGCCTGGCTGAAAGTCAATGACCATCTGACTCTGAACTTGGCAAGTGAAGACAGACTCTGTCAGTCCTCACCTTTCACCCACATACTGGCTCAGCTCATAAAAACAAGCTAACAGGAAGTCTGTCCCAGGCCTATCCCACAGGCACAAAGCCTCTTTTTCTTCCTCCCTCTTGCCACATGTAGATAATCTCATTTTCATTTGTCTTTGATGTCTGCACAAAATGTCATTTCACAAGAATCACTCCATCTTCCTGAGAGGGTGGGGGTGTGTAGTGATGACACTGGGTTAAGTGGTCCTGGATGCAGAGAAAAACAGCAACCCAGCAGCTGCGGTGAGGCCTGTGACAAAATCTTTGTTCCACACATGGGGAAGGAGCCTGGCTGCCAGCTCCTGGAGTGCGGGGAATCCCTCAGGGTAGTCTGGTGAGAAAGGTGAGACGGGTCTTTGAGACAAATTTTGAACTTGCCTCCAGGAACTCAGTTACTCATTAAGTTAGAAGTTAGTTCAGGTTTGGTTTAAAGGGTGAAGAAAATTTCTGATGTTGAAGAAGGACACCTGGCAACTCAGATGAAGGCTGGGGGAACTGGAAGCTGGATTCAAGAAAGTACTGGGGGAGGGAAGAGGAGAGGATTTACTAAGGCTATTTTCAGAGTGGAAGTGGATTCTGGGGGAAGGTTCCCAAGGCCGGGTAGCTCATGGTGAGGAGGAGAGAGAATTTGAGTGGGCTCTGGATCTGAGTATGATGGACTGTGGACCGAGTACTGAGGGTGGTGTCTAGAATTCTGGGAGGGTGAGCTGCACTTTCAAGGGGTACTGCGGGTGAGGAAGGATGTTTTAGAGGGAGGAACGTGTTGAGGAGGGCTGGGAGGGAGTGAAAAGCTTCCGGGTGAAGACTGGACTTAGGAGGTTAAAGATTTAAAAACATGGGTGAAGGTCAGTTGAGGGCAAGGGTGAACACTTGCGGGCTGTGCTTGTGGGGGCTGATGGAGGGGGTGAAAGAACAGTATGGGAGAAATGGGGGTGGGGCTGAGGGTCCTGAGTGACAGGGGTGAGGGCGGTGCTGGGAGAAGTTGAGGAATGGTAACCAAGATGTGTTAGGAATCAGCCTACCCAAATTCCTGGCAGGAATGTGAGGCAGTCATTAAAGTACTTCAGGAGACACCATAGTCGAGGGGTTACAGCAGTGCTGGAGACAAGCAGATCTGGCATTTTTCAGGGAGAAGAGAAGGACTCTTAGGATAGCTGGCTAGAAGCTAGGTTAATAGAGAGGGAATCTGAGATAATATCGAGGGCTTCTGGAAGAGAATGTGAGGGTTCTGAGGTTCCTGTGCTAGGAGATTCTGAAAGTCCCAAGACTTCCATATGAGAGGATGTGGCAGCCTCCTCCATGGTAGGGGTTTCGGGGTGCAAGCGGGTTCACTAGAAGAGTCATGAGTGACTGCAGTCAGGTTGGGGCCGATCCTGGGATGGCAGCGGGCTGCGGGCACCCGGAGGCCAGGCTCACCTGGGCAGGCTGTCCTGGTAGTGCATGGTGGGCACGATGCTGCGCTGCAGGTACTGGTCGGGCTCGGAGGCGGCGCTAAGGCGCCGACTGGGGGCTCCCGGGCCAACCGCGGGGCACCGGGGCCAGGCGCGCAGCAGTAGGCGGGGTACCATCGTCACGGGAGCCTGCGGCGGCGAGAACACGGCAAGCAGGGAATTCCGCAGTCTAAAGACAGGCCGCTGCCCTTAGGGCCCAGGACACAGTGTCAGGACTCCCCGCCCACGTCTTATCCGCCAGCAGGCCACTTCCGGCCCCAGAGCGGCCGTCAGCCCCGCCCCGGACTGGCCCCTCCCCGGACAGGGAGCGCCCACGGCCAGGCCCCGCCCACCACCAGGCCCCGCCCGGAAGGGGGGCCCAGCCTCCTCACGGCTGGTGTACCTTCCTTTCCCTAGGAGGCGGGCAGCCGAGCTCCGCAGCCGTTCCTCCCCGCTTTTTGGAGCAAGACAGAAACTGGAGCTGAAAAAAAAAGCTAAGAAACGTGTTTGGAATTTGACAACCCTAAATTTGATCCAGGCTCCATCCTTGAGAGACTGTGGACTACATTTTAAACCTCTATTTCCTCATCTAAGAAGTAGAGATCGCAATGATCCGAGGTACCTCCCAAGATTCTAGATATGAAATAAAGATGCTATGCAAGGTGCGTGGTGCTTAATAGTCGAGCAGTAAACGGTGCCGGTTGTTACTGTTGCTAGTAATCCATGGTGAAGATGATTGACATAAAATGACCCTGAACACTGCACAGCTGCTGCCCTGCCAGCAGCTCACCTGAGTGGATGGACGTTAGAAAGGATTTGTGCAGGAGCTGGAAACCTGGAGTTTCCCGCCAGCCACCATTTCAGTGCAGAAAGCCCCTTCCAGCGGAGTCCCCTCGGCTCCGCCTGAACACCCATTCTCAGCTTGAGCATTTCCAAAGACAGGAAGCTCACTGTTAAGAGGAAACCCTTGTCCTCTGGCTCTAGGGAGTCTTCCATGTTCAGTCTGTTGGAGGAGGCTTCCTGTCACCACAGATCACCTCCAAGATTCCTTCCAACTCCTGACTCTTAAGATTCCGCTACTTGAACATAGATCCATCATCCCTTATCCATCACAAAACAGCTGCAGAACAGCCCACCACGCTGCAATCCCTGATCTTAGGAGTAGCTGAAGGATTAAAGCTCCCATTTTGCAGAAGAAGAAAGGGAGTTAAAAGACACAAAATTTTGCTGCCCGGCTCGAGGCGCAACAGAATTCCATTTTGGGCACAGAACTGCCCTTCAGCCCTGTTTGGGGCAGCCAAGTACATTCTGTCTGTTCCGTAATTGGCTAAGCAGAGCCAGAAGGTGGAGCACACCAGGAAGAGTAACAGATTGGGAGTCAGGAGACCCTACTTTTAGTTTCAGCTCTTTCTCATCTAGGTAGGTGACCTCGGGTTGAACAGGAAGGTAATGAGCTCTGGCACTCATTCAGTGGTGATCACAAATCCTTAACCCATTCCCCGTTTAGAAAAAATGGGCCCGCTTGCTGCCAGCGCTTATTTCTCAGGGCAAATGGGAAATGGGTTAAGAACTAAGCGTGAAATTCAGAACACTGAATATCTAATCCTCCTGTCTTGAGGGGAGAAAAGGCCCAACTGGCCCAAGTTCAAAACATCAATGCCATTTGCCTGTAGTGTGTAAGGCCATAGGGAGAATATAAAACTCTTTCTTAGAAAGATCAGTGTCTTCCAAATCCTGATCGTTTCCAGAGCCTTGATACCTGAGGCAAATATTGAGATCTGTGTGGCACTGAGAGGATCAGAGGACCAGGAAGAAATAGGGGACCCAGTAGAAGAGCAGTGGCTCTTTCTAGAGACAGAGGGCCAGAAAATTGAGCCCATCCAATCTAACAGCCAAAAGAGGGGCTCAAATGCCTTTGGTGAGTGCATGGCCAATAGGAGCAACTGTAAGCCTTTAGCTAGTGTCCAAGGCCTTCTGAATTCTGGCCCCCACCTACTTCTCCAGCTCCCATCATGTCACCCCAAAATACTCTATGCTGGGGTGTCCAATCTTTTGGCTCCCCTGAGCCACATTGGAAGAAAAATGGTCTTGGGCCACACATAAAATACACTAACACAAACGACGGCTGATAAGATTTTTAAAAATTATAAAAATATCTCATATTTTAAGAAAGTTTACTAATTTGCGCTGGCCTCATTCAAAGCTGTCCTGAGCCATGGGTTGGACAAGCTTGCTCTATGCTGTAGTGACCCTGAACCACTCCTCATTCCCATCCTTTTCCTTACTCTGAGACTTATTTATTTATTTATTTATTTATTTATTTTAGCTGTCTCTGCTGCCTGGAATGTTCTTTTCATGCATCTCTGCCATGATAAGTAAACTCTTACTCATCTTTCAAACCCCATTTCAAAACTCACAGGCTCTATGAAGTCTTCCTCAATCCTCATCCTTCTTCCTCACTGCAAGAATGAATATCTCCCACTGTGATTTTACAGCACTTTTCACATTCACTTACAGTTATGTACATGAAACACAACTGTATTATGGCTTTTTAAATGATATGCTATTTAATTATCAATCCATCTCTCGAAATAAGCTTTGAGGTCTTCAGACAGGGCCTTGTTTCTGCTGTGTGTCCCCTGTGTCTAGCACAGGCCTACTGTGGGTATGTGTTTTGCTTCCTTTGCCTAGGGATGGCCCTGGGGTCTGGACCACATTACAAATAACCATGAGCTGGTAGTCCAAAAAGACCGTATTTAGCTGCATAAGGGTCAAGAATGTTCCTCTACTTAGAGAAAGATCCTGAAGAATACATTGTTTGTATTGAACTAATCCCCAGAGTTCTGCTCTGTTTGGAATTAACTATGAAAAAGCAGTACATCATGGCCAGGTTAAAGCCATATTCATCTTCAAAATCAAAGTTCTGAAAAACAATAAATTTTAACAGACTAGAAGTAGAGTTCACATTTCAACAAAAAAGAGGTCTGGTTGGATAAGTATGACCAAAGAGAACAAATGTGAACACCCAAATATTCGGAGAAATGACAGGAACTAGTACCTAGAGTTGACCTGGCAGTCCCAAGTTCTCAAATTCTGTTGGAACTTACCTGAACTAAACAGTGCTTGAAATAAGGAAATTCGTAGGCCAGACCTTGAAAAGCCCTGCTTGATTTAATGGGATGTGTTAAAATGAACTCTAACCCTTTTATAAATATTAAGTATGTGAGAAAGTATTTAAATGCAAAAAAGTGAAACCCGAGTATTAAAAAAATGCTCCCATAAAGGAATTTTTAAAACTTACCTGTAGATACATTATATATTTTAACTAAACCAATCAGTGAGGAATTCATGGTGTGTGGGAAGAAAATCCATTTGAAAAAAAACTTTACAATGAATCTGATGTTTCATTTTTGAAGCATTGCTCAGAGAAAAAGAACTGCTGGAGAAAAAGAACCAATGGACAGAGCATGAAGAGCTTATTGCATGAGGGTCTGCAGGGAGGGACAAATATAGTCACTTCTGAAGGACCCAGAGGACCAAATGTATGCCTCTCAAACATGGGTCCTGGTCATCCAAGCTGGCAGGTTTCTGGGCTCCTGGTTCCAAGGAAGCAATGGATAATGGGGGTTGGGAAGGAGGTGGAGACTTCACCCATAGCTAACACCTTCTGGGGAGGGGCCCTAGAACAGGAAGGCCCTTGCCCACCTCTGGCCCCTCTGGCAGTAGATTCCTGACTTCTGCTGCACTCCTGTATGCATTTAGCTTTTCTGAAGTGAGGAAGGGAGGAAGGCTAAGCTCAACTCCAGAACCCTCCGACTGTCACCATTTTCACTGTGGATTTTTCTCATGGAGGTAGGCCTCACCCACCTAAAGCCCCAGGCCAGCAGCCAGGTAGAAAAAGGGAGGACAACTTTCAAAACTCTAAAATAACAGCCGGTCTAGCCTCTGCGATGGGATTATTGTAAAAGACCAGTTTTCAATGGAAAGTGGAACTTTGCTTCCTCAGTGGGTCTTTAGGTTCCAGTTTTCTTTATGCCCCCTTGCCAATTTCAGTGAGGGAAAGAACTTGAGTGTGTGTGTGTGTGTGTGTTCTGGGTTAGTGAAAACTTCACCGAATTCAGCCACGTAGAAACCTCAGTCAAACAATTTTAAGATTATAGGAGAAATGGACAAATGATGACAAAAGGAGCTAAAATCAAGAACTGGGTATTTTAGCCAGATGTGGTCCTAGCTACTTGGGAGGCTGAGGCAGGAGGATCACTCAAGCCCAGGAGGATTGCTTGAGTATGAGACTACAGTGAGTGAGCTATGGTTATGTCCCTCTAGCCTGGACAACAGAGTGAGTGAGACCCCCAATCACACACACACACACACACACACACACACACACACACACACACAGATAATACAGACAGGTGATATGGTTTGGATCATGGGGGCAGATTTCCCCGTTGCTGTTTTCTTGATAGTGAGTGGATTCTCATGAGATCTGGTTGTTTAAAAGTGTGTAGCATCTCCTCCTTCGCTCTCCTTCCTCCTCCAGCCATGTAAGACATGCCTGCTTCGCCTTCATCTTCTGCAATGATTGTAAGTTTCCTGAGGCCTCCCCAGCCATGCTTTTTGTACAGGCTGTGGAACCATGAGTCAATTAAATCTCTTCTTCCCTTCCCTTCCCTTCCTCAGTTTCCTTTATTAGTAAAATTGGAGTAATGCTTACACTGACTCCTTCTCAAGTTTGTTATATGAAAGAAATTGGCAAACTGCTATGTGCACATGTGAGTGTTTACGTTATTGCAAGAACCATGTCTTCCAAGTCCTGCCAAATCTACCTCCTTCACATCTTCCTCATTCCTTGACTGGGTTACTATAATAGTTTGTGACCATGTTCCCTGTTTCTAGCCTACGTCCCCTGTAGCCCATTCTCCATCACACTGTCAATATAATATTTCTAAAACACAAACCTGGTAGTAGTAATAATAATAGTAATGTACTAATGATAATGTTGAGGCCAAACATTTGTTTTGTGTTTGCTATTTGCCAACATTCAGTCTTCTTAAAACCCTAGTGTTCGGAATGAAAGTAAACTCCTAACTTACCACCCCTTCATGATCTTGTCCCTAATGTCTTCTCTAGCTAGTTACTTACCCTTCCCTTAAGTGAACTTAAGTCTTTTCCAGCATGCTATGTTATTTTATGGCTCTTCTTACTGTTCTAACTTGGTTCTATTCCTTCTTTAAACTCAGTCCTACCCTCACCTCCCACAGAGAAGCCTTCCTTGCCATTGACTGATCAAGCTGGCTAAATCCCACACCCGCTAT